TTTGGTCAAAATGCTTCCAAAAAAATTCAGCAGTGGGGTGTGCAGGCTCATATGGGCAAAGGTGGTATTTCCAATTTACTGGCCGCAAAACCATTTCTGGCTTTATGGACAAAAGCCCACACTTTGAATTCCTCTCAGAAACAAACTGGAAGTCAGTGCAGAATGAAATGAAACTCAGGTGGCAATTCAGAATGCTGACTTGCTTTGAGTTAAATCAGGGGCAGCAAAGCCCTTTCAACCAAAGGGCCACACACTATTCTGGGAAGCCTCCCAGGGGCCACTTGCCAGTGGTGAAAGGAGCTAGGGACAAAAGTGGGCAGCATGCTCTTGTTCACTGTGCATGATCAATGAGAAGAGAAAGGAGCCTGGGCTAGAGGCCATTTTAGGAACAAGCACATGGTATAAGGAACAGGTTGTTTTTAGCCACAAGGTACTTTACCAGTGTTGTCTTGGCTACCAATTTGCTTGACCACAGCCTCTCTTGTTGACCACTCTTGTTACTGTCCTCTTTTTCTCTTATCCAGCCCACTTTTATTTCCTATGCTTGCAGACTGCCTACTATCCTGGGGAGTTTTAGTCTCTAAGTGAAGGCTCCTAGGGGCTGGAGCAGTAATTACAATCAATAGTATATTTGCTAAAAGAAGTATATTAAATAACATGCTTGTTACTTAATCACTCATGTGGCTTCTCTATCCACAGTATGTATACATTACGATGCACGGTTTAATGACATGGTCATGTCAGCATGTGGGTTGTGGTCACCCCACTACACCAACTATTCTATAGATTCCCTAGCAGCATCCGTCTCCTGTCACATGTGTTTATTCATAGCACATTGGGCCCAGATTGATACACAGCATTTCCAATTTTCTCAGGGCTCTTGCCAGTGATGAGCACCACTCAAAATAGCAGGAAACTTCACCCCACGTTCCCTAGCCTTTGCCAAGGAACAGTCCACAAGGCTCCTGTTAGTATACTTTTGAACATGCAGGGTTTGATATGGTTGACACAGATGAAACCAAGAACAAATTAAGCTGCCTTTTGCCTACCTAGTTCAATATTGTCTACTGAGTGGCAGAAACTGTCCATAGTTACAGGAAGCTTTCTCTCCCAATCCTACCTGGAGATGCAGGGGATTTAAATCAGGCTCTTCTGCAAGCAAAACAGATGCTCTACCACTGAGCTGTGGCCCTTCTCTAAGCTACAGAGAGAGACATTATTCCAAAAGTTTCAGTCCTGAGTCATTTAGGGCATTATAAGTTAGGACTGACATCTTGAATTGGGTTCTGTAGTGTATTGCCAATCAACTCAGATTACACACAATCAGAGTTCTAGTATTCTGATTAGCTAAACCACTCCAAACGGTGATGGTTGCATTCTGCACAAAGTGCACCTTCTGAATTATCTTCAAGAGTATCCCCATGTAGAGTACATTACAGTAATCTAATTGGAAGGTTACCAGTGAGGAGATTTCACCCCTCCCATATCCAAGAATCTCCTGAGGAGTCTGCTGATTCTCCAGAGAGGAGGAGGCATGTTCTGCTCTCTAAATATTCTGCTCCAGCACCGAGTCAGTCAGTCAGTCAGTGTCGGAGAGAGAGAGAGAGAGACTGAGTGTTAGAGATCGTGTGTAGAGATAAGGTTGCTGCTAAGAGCAGCTGCAGACACTCAGTGCAGTGCAGCATTTATTTATGCTTAGACCTATTAAGCTCTGTATATAGTTGTATAATAGTTGTAGATAGAAATAAAGAAGATATTCTACAGAGCTGCTCTCCGAGTCGTTTATATACTCTGCTAGACTCTGCTATACTCTGCTGTGCGACGACTGTCTTCTTGTGGAAGTGAATCTGGTGCTCACAACTCTAAGCTGTGAGTCCACAGCACTTTGACCTGTTCCTGTGCAGAAGGTGGTCTCTGGAAGTGCTACCCAGCTCGCCTAGCCCAGTCGGGCTGAAGTGGATGAGTCCAGTTGGTGGCACTGGCTCAAGGGCGATGCTGACAACCAGATCATGGATTATCATGGGAAGAATACCTCAGTCCAGGAATGACTGCAGTGCTCAAACCATCTGGAGCTGAAAATGTGCCCCTGATGCCACCTGGGTCACCAGTGACAATGCTGTCCTGCATGCAAGGGCTGTCCTTTATTTTTGCTATTTGACTTTTTTTTAAAAAAAAGCTTAGTCTCCATTTCAGCAATATAGGCAATTTAAAATGTACATAGAATGTACCTATTTTATTGGATATATGCAAAGAAGAAATAGCTCTTTATCAGTTTGAGGGACATCAACTCAATCAATACATAAGATTGGATGATGGAAAGACAGACAGACAGGTGGCAGTAGAGAGAAAAGCAGCCCTCTAGATCTGGAAGCTTTGCTGTGCCTGAGATCTTGAGTCTTGGGATAGCTTTGGTCCATCTTAGAAACAGAAGATAGGGCATTGGAATGACTCTCATGATGGTGTCGGAGTTACAAAGGTGTATGGAAAGCATGTTCCTTGAAGATTGAGAAGACTGAGGGAACATTATCTTCCCATACCTGCACCAAAACTTGTTCTCTGATGCCCTAGAAGGCAGGACTAGATTTAATGGGCTTAAGTTATAGAAGGAGAATCTTCTTAATGATGAGATCAGCTTGGCAATGGAACCAAAGTACTTTGATGAGTTTCTTGAGTGATGAGGTTTTCAAATGAAGGCTGGACAGTCATCTGCTGGGGAAGCAGCACTGGATTTTCTGGACTGAGAAACCTACACCTTAACCTCCAGCTCTAAGATTCTGTGATTTTTGCCTTGGAGTCAATCAATTGCAATGTACAGCCTGAGATTGCATGTGAAAGGGGGCAGCAGTGGACCAGCGGCAACAGAGGAGTTGGTCTTCACTTTCACAGCTGACAGGGCAACAGCCTGGTGGTGCTGAGAAACCTGTAACATAAAGATTCAAACGTGTGCAGCTCCACCAGGAAATTCCATGGCTAGATTGAAGGCTGGTACCCAGGAATGTAGGAGTTGGGAAATTAATTTCAGATGGCTCTGAAATTTGCCTGCTAAATAAATAGTCTGCCTATCCCAGTATAAGCATGTAATTTAAAACAGCGTGGGGCTTTCAGGGAATTAAGAGTAAAGTGATTTCTTTTTTAGAGTAACTTGAAGCAGCCTTAAAACTGAAGGCAAAGTGTCGACAGCAAAATTCAGGCAGTTATCAAGTTTAAGAGTGTCAATGAAGTAAGGTAACAAAAAAAGCACACTGTGTAAAAGCTATTCTGGCTCACTTGATAGACACATTTGAAAGGCAGTTTTGCACAAGAGTATTTAGTGTGAACTGGGTCTTGACAAAGGCTTTAAGGGCTGACCTTACTATGAGCATTCAATTGACAACGTTTTTTAATTTCTTGGTCTTCCTACAAAGTTGGGATAGCACCCCCCCTCATTTGCTTGTTTTATTTACCACTGTTTCTACTCCAACTTTCAGTTTAATACCAAAACCAAGGCGGTTTTTAAATGCACAATAAAAATAGTTAACAATACAACCATAGCAAAAGCAGTACTATACCAGCAGATACCCCACTTAGCACTGCATTGAATTCCACCCCAATGCTGCAAAAACACAGCTTGCAACATGTTGCATGCCCGTCCTATTTGTGTCATGACTGTACCTCCAAATCCAATCTATCGTTAGACCCATGTCTGGTTCACAAGAAGCCTTCAACTGGTGGTGCTTTTATGAATGAGTGCTGTGCTTCTTCCATCTGAGTCATCCCCATCAGAAGATGAATATCAGAGTCTCAGGGCTGGTTCAGATGCAGGTTGGCACTCAAGACAGAAAGACAAGCAGAAAAATTAGCTCTCTGTTCAAGAAAACAAGGCAGCAATGGCTACAAGCAGAGCTGGCCCCAATGAGACAGTTGCTAGGACTGAAGGCCTTTGCCTTCTACTTCCCTCTAAGTCTCCTCCGCAGCCACATGTTTTCCAAGCAGCCTCAGACTACATCAGGGGTGGGGTGGGGATCTGAGCCCATCATTCTGCTACATGCATAGCCCTCATTGTCCTAGGAGAAAAGAGGATCAGGGCAGCTTAGGACATTAGGAGCGACAAGCTCCTGGGATGCTTCTGCAGCATCTGTCCCCATCTCCTCTGCTTCATCAGCTGGCTAAATCCTGTTGCCTCTTCAACATTCAACCATTCCTTCCCTCCTGCCCCCTCTGACCTGTCCTCAATGTCCCAACACCACTCGCCTGGCTGTGAGCCTTCCTCCTCTGAGGTTTCTCTAGAGGGTTCCCCGGCTGGTGCCTCCCATTACTCCTCTTCGTCCAGCTAGTCCCTTACATGGAGCCATTGCTATTCTGCTTCACCTGTACAAGGCAGGATACAGACACATGCCCAGCAAAGTATCCTTGATACAGGAGAGAGCTGAGGATGAAGGACAAAGTGTGACTAGAAAACATTGCTTGTATTTTAAAATGGGGTTAATTCTGAAGGTTAGGAGCATCTAAGGGAAAAAGTGGATATTAGAGAAAGCAGAATGTAAAGATTTAACCTTTGCAGTAAACTACCTCACCCCTCCTCATTCTGAACTTTTATCAATTTGTTGGAATGAGCTTCCAATCTGTCCCATATTGATCACCAGCACCTTGTCGATATCGGCTGTTGTAAAGGTGAGCTAAGCCCGCAATTCAGGTTAATGGAATTTATGTCTCACTAAGACATGAGAATGAGACAGAAAAACATGCACATATGCACTTATGTGTGCAGATATATGGAGGGATCTGACTTCTCTGTATATGACAACATGATTTTTTTGGGGTGGGGTGGGGTGGGAAGAGCACATCTTCAAGCACAGCAGCTTTCAGCCTGGATCAAGAAGCAATTTGACAGCATCAGCCTAAGCCATTTTGAAGCCTGGGGTGCCAAAATAAATAAATAAGTGCCTCTGTATCACTTCAGTCCATTGTATCAAAAAGTAATTACCACTACCACCCTCAAATTTATCATTTGATTAATGGAGGAGGGCTGTGGCTCAGTGGTGGAGCTTCTGCTTTGTAAGCAGAAGGTTCTGGGTTCCATCTCTGGCATTTTCAGGCTGAGAGAGAGCTCTGCCTCTTGATCATTTTGGCGGCTCTTTCTGAACCTTTTCCAACTCAACAATACCCTTTTTGAGCTGAGGTCAGGTGACCATGAAGTGGTTTCATGAGACTTTGGTAGGCATTCTGAACATCACACACAGAGAGAGACTCTGAAAGAGCTGGTATGTGGGAGCCCTCGACATCTGACAATGTCTGATAGACCCTATGCACACTTTTCTGTGAACAGGCCCCACGATAGAGGAACTGACTTCAAAACAACAGGCATAGGTGTGACAATTAGCTTCAATCATTCCTGCAATTCAATTATGGGCAGACATGGGATTTTCATGTAAAAATGCTGTTCTGGTGATAATTCCAGGTGATAATTTTTTAATTTTCAAACTTCGAATTTAAGCAACTTTTGAAATCTAGTGATGTTCCTCTTGTAGCTCTCATGAATTCCCTCACAAAGGCGCAGGGTTAGAGAAACTCCTGAACGTTGAAATTCTGGTTTTGTTTTATGTGCAGAACAGGCAACTTTCCTTGGCCATGCTAATTAAAGATTGATCACTTAGGTGGCATGTACTACCACAAGGTCTCCCACCTTGGGCTTTCAGTAAAAATGATCCACAATTAATTAACTCTGTGTTCAGTCTATCTGACATCTACTCTGGCTTAGCATAAAAGGGGCTTTTAGAGAGACCACATGCTGTGTATGTGAAGGAAGTGATGCACTAAGCAGTTTTTATCCTGGCAAGGCATGGGCTTGTGCAGGTTGTGGCCACTGACACCGTATAACCAAGCCACATCTCTCACAGTGCAAAGCTAAGCTAAGTCTAGGCCTTCAGAACTGTTTTGACATTTCTCCACTTAGCCACATCAGAGAAATGGCTAGGATCTAGGGTGGCCATGTGTCCTACTTTACAAGGGACCGTACTCTATTTAAACGACGCTTCTGTTTGAAGAGCTGTCCAGTCCAAGTCTGGTTTGAATATAAAGAACCATCAGCGAGGAGAGCACGGATTGTGCTGGAACCCATCAACATCACCTGGAGAGCAGATACACAGGTCACATGGTCATGGCATTGACTATGATGGTGCAATGCATCGCATAACCATAGTAGTTGTTTCTAAATTTTCATCTATACATATAAATCAGTACATGCAAATCTTATGCAAATCAATATCCCATTTCCCCCCTTTGTTGGATGATGAATATATAAGAGAACATGTTGCTAGGCTCTCCAGATAAAAAAAGTGGTGCGTGCCTTGTCAATAACAGAGAAATAAGTTTCTTAGAAAAGCTGACATGCTATTAAAACACACGTATACTTCAGTTAGTGTTTTAACTGTCAAACATTTTAATTCAAAATAAAGTTCACTTTTCTGTGAACAATATAATTCTGACATTTAGTTGGCCTGTAAGAACATTTTAAATGGCTGTTTCTAGTTGATTTTGTTAAGGTGCCAATAAAACTCTTCAACATTTGTGACATTGGGGTAGGGGGCAAGACAAGCGGTCATGGGTTAGCAAATGAAATGGATAACTTTGCTGTGCAGGAACATACGAGTGTGAGAAGGAAAATAATAATAACTGATACCTCTTACTTTCTGTATATCTTGTAGTGGTGTACTGCATAGATGTTTAATTTGGCATTGGTCTATTAATAGAATGACATCTGGACTTGTTAATGGGATTGTTTTTCTTTTTTAGTTGTCTGATCTTCACGGCTGTATTTAATTGAACTGAATGACTTCATTTGTGGATAGTGATGTTTGCTCCCCCCCGCCCCCCCGTTCTTGTTGGAAGAGGTTTTTTATATGGAAAGATTAATAAATAAAGATGTTTTCAAAATGGAATTTAGGAAGATGTCTTGCATTGTAGTTGCCAGAGAGCTTTGTGGAACCCTATGAGAGCCTCTTGGCAAAGCAACTAGAAAGCTGCATGCAGGTCATAGGAATATAGGAATCTATCTTATACTAAGTCAGACCACTGGTCCATCTCGCTTGGTACTGTCAACACTGACTGGCAACTGTTCTCAGAGTTTCATGCAAGGAGTGCTTATAATTGTGAGCAGACTGGGCCTCCTTCCTTGCTGATTTCCTTGAAATGTATTGATGATCAAAGTGCAACTCTTGTATTGGATTTCTCTTCTGATTGGGAAATCACAATTAGATTACATCTCACCCTCTCTGACAATCTCAGGAGATTTGGTGATTAGAGAGAGACCCCTGCTTTCTTTTGACAAGCTTTCTAATCAGCAACATATTACTGGGTACCATAGTGCCAATCTAATCCCTCCCTCCCATTTACACATTCATTGACCTGTGTGATGGTTCGCTATAATCATAACCAAGTAAATTTAGTAATAGGCGCTGTAATTAACTCCGTTCTGTGTACTTGGGCCAGTACTTCTGTAAATATCAAGCATGTTGTGCTTGGTTTCTTTGCGAATGAAAGAAATTGGGTGTGCATATTAGGGTCAATTAAAATTAATTCTGTTTGTATCGACTGCCTTTTTGCTTATGCAAAGATTGTGCAAGGCAAGTGTGCAGCGAGGGCTTCCTTCCCTCTAAAATCCATAATGTTTGCGTTTGGAGCTGGGAGGAGGAGAGAATAAAAATCACAGGCTGTTTGAAATTTAAATCAAAGCAACTCTGGTCAATAGAATCAAGGTTACAGTGCCCTGGAAGGTTTTCATTGGCCAGTACCAAGATGCATCCTGGGCAGGAGTGACATGAAAGGTCAATTGACAGGTGTCTGAGGGGCAAGCAGGATGGATGCTCAGATGGAAAGGCTGGTTCTTGGCTATTCATGGGAGTCATCTGGGTTTGCACTGAGGTCAAATTAACCTTCATGCGGGAGCCCAGTTTAAGCAATAAATACATAATAATTTTAATTAATAGCTGAAGCTCCACTCTCCCCCCCTTTTTTTGAAAAAGGCATACATCTAAGTGGATGAGAGGAAAGCAGGCAAAAATGAGATGAGATTGTGGGAAAGTGGTGAAAAAACCTGGGAGTCCAGTTTCTAGTTGATGCACAGGCCTGGAGCCGGATTTGAATGTTATTACAATCGTAACTTGGATCCTGAACGCCTTGGTACTTGGACGTTTTGGCTCCCGAATGCCGCAAACCCAGAAGTGAGTGTTCCGGTTTGTGAACGTTCTTTGGAACCCAAATATCTGATGGGGCTTCCATGGCTTCTGATTGGCTTCAGGAGCTTCCTGCAGCCAATCAGAAGCCGCACTTTGGTTTCCAAACATTTTGGAAGTTGAACGGACTTCCGGAGCGGATTCTGTTCAACTTCCGAGGTGCAACCGTGCAAGGAAACACAGAGGAAAAACAACATGCGGAATTATCTTGTGAAATAAGGGGAAGGACAAGCTAACTCATCTGATTCAGAAACATTCATGCAGAAGGGCAAATTAGGAACGTAGATACTTAGGAATCTGCCTTATGTTAGGTCAGACTGCTGATCCATCTAGCTCACTATTGTGTATACGAACAGTATTTCTCGGGGTTTCAGATGGGGCATTCCCAGCCCTAGCTAGAGATGCCAGGGACTGGACCTGGGACCTCCTGCATGCAAAGCAGATGCTCCACCACTTCCCTATTGGTGTTTTTGGGATGGCCTCTACCCAGTATACCTGAAGGAGCATCTCCACCCACATTGTTCCCCCACTGCGAGAAGCAAAGCTACAGAGAACCAGGCAGAGGGCTTTCTCGGTAGTGGCGCCCGCCCTGTGGAATGCCCTCCCATCAGATGTCAAAGAGATAAACAACTACCTGACATTTAGAAGACATCTGAAGGCAGCAGTGTTCAGGGAAGTTTTTAATGTGTGACATTTTAATGTATTTTTAATCTTTGTTGGAAGACGCCCAGAGTGGCGGGGTACAAATAATCAATTGTTGTTGTTGTTGTTGTTGTTGTTGGCAAGTGCTTTCCTGATACCTGTGTATTCACTGAATGTATGAAAGTGTTCTTATGAAAGGCAGTCTCTCTTTCTTGATTTTTTAAAATTTCTGGTCAGCGTGTTTTATCCCTAGCTCTTTTCCTATTAAATTCAGGGTTGTTTCTCTACCTCCCCACCTCCCTCCAGATGTCAGCCTTTGATATTCTGTGGACTGCAAAATGCGAGTGGAAATGGTCAAAGGCAGGAAATGGAAGGTTTGGGTAACAAGGTAGGGGACGGACGCATGCAAAGTACAGGGAGATGTGAAAGCCAGCTCTGAAACCTAGGATAAGGATGCGCAGACTGCCTGTAAAAACAAACAAACAATAACAGTCCAAAGTCCTCAGTTTCCTTTTTTCACATCTATGATGAGAGCGTGTTCCATTTGGCTTGCAAAATGACCCTGCACCTACTAAGGAAGGAGGTGAAAGACATGGGGAATATTTTCCCATTAAGCTTGGCTTTTCATCTACTTCCCTGACAAATGCAGTTGATGCTGATGGTATTTTTTCCATTCCTATCTAATCCCTAGTAAGACTGAACTATAGGCTGCTGTCTTGTGTCTTGGCTCAGATAATGTTTTTGTGCTAACATAACATAATGCCATACAATTAGAAATTATATGTTAGCTCTTAGTCATAGCCCACTGAGTTTACATTAGACAAAGGAAATTAAACGGGAACCAGAGGAGACCTAGTAAGTGCTGTGTGTTTCTTTTCTACTCAAGGAATATTACGTTTCTATTGATGAGCACATCGTTTATGTCTACAGAAAGAAAGCTATCTGTGCTCTGTAGGTAGGAGGTTTCTTGGATTCATATTGACTTGGCTTATGCTAGTAGCCTTTATCTAGTTTCAAGAGGACTTTTTTTCTCAAAGAAAAGGTATGCTGTTCAATTGAATTCATTTTACATAGAAGCAAATCCCACTAAGCTCAGTAGGGTTTACAGGGCCAAAGTCATTTTGGGCTTTAAAGGTCAGCACCAACACTTTGAATTGCACTCAGAAACATACTGGGAGCCAATGTTCTAAGACCAGTGTTAGGGTCAGCTTCCAGTTACCA